CCTATATTATTTTCCTCATCTGTGAAATGAGGGAAAATAATATAGTATGTGGATAAGAGAATTCTTCTGAGAATTAATGGGATCATACATTTAAAGCTCTTTGCACAATACCTGGACATTGCAAGCATTAAAAGTATGGGGATTTAAAATGTTTTTTCCTTTGGAATCTCTTACCTCTTTATATATTAAGGCCCTGAGAAGTATGATGCTGACTGATATAAACCTCTTACTGGATCGTAAGGCTTTTGCAGACCCAGACTTCCTGCACTTGGTTTTAACTTAGCTTCCCACATCAATATCAATACCAATATCAATTGTTGGTAGAAGAATAAACTCCACTGAGCTACACATCCACAATACAATACATTGATATTGTATCAGTATCAATTTTTACACCTAGTTGGTGCTAAATATGTGTCTGTGTTATTGAACTGAATATGCTTGGCTTCTACACTAGATTGGATGCTTTTTGAGTGTAAATACCATAGCTTATATTTATACTCTACGGAGTCCGTCTCAGTAATGAAAACAAATACGTCATTAGGAAACAGGTGTTGTTTTAATCAAATTCTTCTAATAAGAGGGCAAATGAGAATTCTAACTCCTTAAAGTAGACACTGCCAGTTATTTTCCCAAATTCATTTTCTGCCTCCCTCTCTCCATTCTTCATGGATGTCAGTGTTCTGATTTGGGTGTTCGGGGGTGAAGCTTATTCAGGCTAAGCCAGTCCAGTCCTTATGTTTTCATGCTTTTGCCAAAGATTGATTTAGGGAGGTATTAGTGATGCATTCTTGCTACTGATATCAGAAGGGAAGTCTGTGGAAATTTTCTTTTCTCTCAAGAAAAAGATCAACAAAAGGAAACATCACCTTTCCTGGCCCTGGTCGTGGCTGCATGGGGCCACAGGGTCCGGAGCAGAGACGGACAGTGTGGGCTCAGCATTGGCGCCAGTCAGAGTGGATAAACTAAGGTACAAGAGCAAAACGGAAAAACTGGGCTTTCCAATGAGCCTTTTGGCCGCTGAAGTGAGCAGTACTGGACTTCCAACATTTTTGTTTGTGAGATAGTACACCCTGTTGTGTCTCAGTCATTCTACTTGGCATTTCTGTTGCTTATTGCTGAAGGTTTCTTGCTGGACTTTGCATTTGCTATTTCCCACTTTCTTCTTATGTAAATTCTGAAGGTCGGACCATTGGTAGGGAGAGCAAAGCAATTACAAACCAGGAGACCAAGAAAACCAGGAGGAATCAATAAACAACTAACCAGGTGTTATTTATTAAAATTAATGTCTCACCTATTTAAACCTGTAGAAGAGATTCACATCACAGTCTTACTTTAGTAATGGAGAAAAAAGACTGACAACAGTTGATCATTAATACAAGATAGGAAAAGAACTTTTTTTTTTAAGAGACAGGGTCCTGCTTTGTCATCCAGGCTGGAGTGCAGTGGTACAATCATAGCTCACTGCAGTCTTGAACTCCTGGGCTCAAGGGATCCTCCCGCCTCAGCCTCCCAAGTAGCTGGAACTACAGGCACCCACTGGCTAATTTTTCAATTTTTTGTAGATGGAATCTTGCTATGCTGCCTAGGCTGGTTTCAAACTCTTGGCGATCCTTCCACCTTGGCCTCCTGAAGTGTTGGGATTACAGGCGTGAGCCACTACACCCAGCCCCTGAACATACCTTTCATAAAAGTACAAATATACGCATAAAATAGTCACAAAGGAGAAGTGGGCATCTGGCCTCACATAAGTCCGCTGTGGCCCACAGCAATGTCAGTCAACAGAGGACATTTATGTGGGCACTCATCGAGCAAGAAGTTTTTCCGTAAATAAGAAGGAATTGTTGCCGAAGGAACATAGGAGAGTGATTACAAGCAGGAAGTAAACGAAAAAAGGAAACTTACTCCTGGCACTTGGAGAGGCACCTGCCTTCCTGGAGGAAGAGAGGGTGGCCAGGCTGCATCTGGCACTTTTCACAAAGACTGGCTCCAGAGCAGACGGCACAGGTCTCTGTACAGTTCTCACATCTCCTGCTCCTTACAGAGGGCCATGTGCCTTGAGGACAGGAAGAAACACAGGCCTGAGCCAACAGATATGCACCTAGAAATCCAGGGAAAAGGGAAGATGGGAATAGTCATCATGTGTTTCTCCATGCAGACATGGCCTTTTTTAGCCTTTCCAAAGACCAAAGTATCCCGGCATTTAATTCAGGCTTACCAAAATATTTAGCAGTAATGCTAAGTCCTCCAGGATGAGTTACATTTCTAGAAAGGCAATTCACAGCAAGAGGCTTTTGCTGTTTCTTTCCTTTTCTCCAGATATTAGGTGTAGGTCATGATGGGACTTCCCTTTGCCCAGCTGATCAGTCTTATTAACACCCTGTCTGTGTCTTCCTGGTGTAAAGCAGCTGTACATGTCCAGCTTGATAGAATCTATTAATACTCTGCTTCCCCAGGGCCCATCTTGTAAGGACAGTAACATAGTTGCAACCTTTTTTTTTTTTTTTGAGACAGAGTCTTGCTCTGTCTCCCAGGATGGAGTGTACTGGAGCGATCTCGGCTCACTGCAATCTCTACCTTGTGGATTCAAACCACTCTCCTACTTCAGCCTCTTGAGTAGTTGGGACTACAGATGTGCACCACCATGCTGGCTAATTTTTGTATAATTAATAGAGACAAGGTTTCACCATGTTGGCCAGGCAGGTCTTGAACTTCTGACCTCAGGTGATCCACCCACCTTGGCCTCCTAAAGTGCTGGGATAACAGGCATGAGCCACCACACCCAGCCCATAGTTACAACTCTTCCACCCAACTCTCCTTTTAACAGAAGATCCAACTATTGTTTAATTAAAAAAAAAACAACAGATACTCATTAAGGAAACCAATTTTCAAAATCACTCTCAAACCCAGAATTCTAGGAAAATGCTTTAGCTTTTTGAGTATAACCTTTTATATTTAATATGATTATAATCGTGGCTTGTCTATGGTAAACTTTTTTGCTTTTGTATCAGATCCCATTATTAACATTGTACATTTCAACATGGACTTCATAATGATCATGTAAACAGTCTTTTTTTTTTTTTTTGAGACAGCGTCTCACCCAGGTTTGAGTGCACAGAGTAACCACTGCCTCCCAGGTTCAAGTGATCTCATGTCTCAGCCTCCTGAGTAGCCTGGGATGACAGGCGTGTGGCTAATTTTGTATTTTTAGTAGAGATGGGATTTCACCATGTTGGCCAGGCTGGTCTCCAACTCCTGGCCTCAAGTGATCCTCCTGCCTCAGCCTCCCAAAGTGCTGAGATTACAGGCATGAGCCTTACGTTCAGCCCACTTAAACATTCTTTATGTCAGTATACGGTTTAAGTAAAATATTCCTCTAATTCAGGGAAGTTATGTTATTTGTGATTTTTGTTTTTATAGATGATGAAACGATTGATAAGTTATCAAGTTGTTATCTTGTTGCCCTTATTCCTTCCTCCCTCTTCATCATGGCTTTAGATTAAGAAACTTTTTTTTTTTTTGAGACAGGGTCTTGCTCTGTCACCCAGGCTAGAGTGCAGTGGCATGATCACGGTTCACTGCAGCCTTGACCTCCTGGGATCAAGCAGTCCTTCATTTCAGCCTCCCAAGTAACTGGAACTACAGGGACATGCCACTATGCCCAGCCAATTTCTAATTTTTTTTATAGATATGGGGTCCCACTCTGTTGCCCAGGCTACTACATGTGAATTTCAATGAATTGGCTTGACTGCTGCCATCTTCCGTCACACAACATACTAACCTTTGGGACATGAAGTACACAGAGTTGCAGATCCATTGCAGGTTTTACAAGAATAATGACAAGCCTGGTATTTTTTCAAAATATCTGCATGAGAAAGAAATAATAGTTCAGACTTCTCCTTTGAACAGGCACATAGGATTCTTGTGCTAAAAAAGATCTCATGGGTAACCTAATCTCTTTTCCTGCCCCAAATGGAATCCTTTTGATTGTGCAGTAGCTTATTCATTGTCTCCACTGGCTCATTGCCATTGTGTAGACTTCATTTTTTTTCCTCTTACGCCTTCATTTGCAATTGATTATCAAGAAAGATAGCACATGAATATGGAGTATCTTACAAGACAGCCTTGAATACTGTGAGGATATCTGAACTAACAAATGATTACTTCTTTTGTGTGTTAAAAATGGGAGGGAGTAAGTTCGTTTTGTGTGTATGCATCATGAATGAGTTTATGAGTCAAAGGTGATCACTTCTATTGCTGGATGATCATTTGTTTTTGTTTTTTAGACAGAGTCTCGTTTTGTAGCACAGGCTGGAGTGCAGTGGCATGATCTTGGCTCACTGCAACCTCTGCCTCCCAGGCTCAAGTGATCCTCCTGCCTCAGCCTCCTGAGTAGCTGGGATTACAGGTGTGCACCACCACGCCTGGCTAATTTTTGTGTTTTTAGTAGAGACAGGGTTTTGCCATGTTGGCCAGACCTGTCTTGAACTCCTGACCTCAGGTGATTCACCCACCTCAGCCTCACAAAATGCTAGGATTACAGTCGTGAGCCACCTCACCTGGCCAAATGACCATTTCTCTTCACTCCAAGGTGATAATTGAGAAGTCATTGTACCTCTTGTAAAGAAACTTCTTTTCTTTTTGTTTTTGTTCTTTGAAAATCAGATTTCATTATTGGCCAATGTTTGGGTCTCTGTGTTCTTTAGAGTTGATACTGTGGTATGCAACCTAAATTTATCTCATCTTAAATTTGTCCCAAATCAAACACCAAAATTAAACATCGAACATTAAACATCAGAATTATCCCCTGCTCATGAGCTTTCTGGTTGGTCGGGCTTTAAGTAGGCTATCCCAGGTTAATACACCATTAACTAGGGAAACATTGGAAGTGTGTGTTCCCTTCTCCCTTTCCTTCCAACAGCATTTGATGGGGAGGCTTTCCCAGGAAGTCACCTCAGCAACTCCATGGGACAATTTCAGAGACAGAACAGCTTCAATGACAGCACTCAATCAATACATACTGAGACCTTGACTAGAGCTCAGGGACTGCTCGGAAATCAGCACGGCTCACACAGGGAAAAATCAGAAAATGAAGTTCTAGCTCAGAATGTGGGATTTAAATGACCCTGACCCTCAATCAGTATTGATATCCTACCATTTCCCTTCATTACCTCCTCCCTCCCTTTCTCCCTTCCTTCCTCTCCTGCCTTTCATTTTCTTTCTTCTTGTCCTGAGAGTCAGCTGGGTATAGATGGCGCTCTAGTCACACCTGCCTTCAGATCCCAGCTGTGCCGCCGAAGGGTAGGGTAACCATAGATACAGTAATTAAACTCTTAGAGTCCTACTTTCTTTGTCTCTAAAATAAGAGAAAATGATTTGCCCTTAGAGTGAAGACTAAATGAGATGATGTGTGTCAAGTGTGTGACTCAGTGGTGCGGTGAATGGTGGTTCCTTCTTCCCGTTGTCTCTCTCCTGTCACTGTTGCACTCCATTTCTGAACCTTGTTTTACTCCCCTCTCCCTTCCCTCTGCTTTCATACCTGAGTGGCACCAGGAGGCACTGCTTGGCTTCTATGTTGATAGTCATGGATACAAAGCTGATGAGCTTTGCGATAGAGGAAACTAGATTCAAATACAGGTGAGAGAAAGATACATAAATAGATAGGATGGATAGGTACAGATATGGGGATAGGTGCAGATACAGGTGGAGATGGAGATATAAATGATTAGGCTGCCATGCTGGGTCATTGATTTTATCCTAGTTTGAAAAAATTACCCTGGTTTTCTTTTTTTGTTTTTAAGACAGAGTCTCGCTCCATCACCCAGGCTAGAGTGTGGTGGTGCAATCTCAGCTCACTACAACATTTTCCTCCTGGGTTCAAGAGTTTCTCTGACCTCAGCCTCCCAAGTAGCTGGGATTACAGGTGCCCACCACCCAGCCTGGCTAATTTTTGTATTTTGAGTAGACACCGGGTTTCACCATATTTCCCAGGCAGGTCTTAAACTCCTAACCTCAGGTGATTCACCTGCCTCGGTCTCCCAAAGTGCTGGGATTACAGGAGTGAGCCACTGCAGCTGGCCCCCTGGTTTTCCAATATACTAATTAAAGGTGATGATTGACCAATGTACTCTCTCTGGGGAATCTGCTAAGGGCTGAATTTAGCCTTGTGCAGAGCCCCCTTAGCCACAGACTGTCACAAACGTGTTCTGCATGCCTCTCAAAGTATCTGATTCTGTCCCTGAAGGCTTTTTAAACTTGCAGTATCACTCAACCCAAAAGAGAAGGCAGCCGAAAGGCGAGCAACCATCCTGTTGCTAATATCAGTCACGATGCTCACTGAATGGCTGAGAGCATTGTTCAAAGAATCATAACACAACAATATTCGTCAAACAGTGAACACCTTGCAAATCTTCAGTGTTGTGTGTCCAGGCTTCAGACTGACTTTCCTTTGATGTTATCATTTATATACTAAAATACGTTTATAAAGACATGAGTTTTCGTTATTTTTCTCATACTTGTGTAAACTTTAATGTCTATATCTACACATATGCACATATTTATAATTACATGCATCTCACATTCTGGCAATTTGATATTTTACTACATACATCTGGCATAAAAATTGTAATGTCAGCCAAGCATGGTGGCTTATGTCCGTAATCCCAGAAGTTTGGGAGGCCAAGGTGGGAGGATCACTTGAAGCCAAGAGTTTGAGACCAGCCTGGACAACATAGCAGAACCTTGTCTCTTAAAAAATAATAATAAATAAAAATAAAATAAAGTTCTGTAATGTCTTCATATGTCCACCAGAGGGAGATCTATACAAGCAGTTAACTTAGCAATTAGGCCTGGGCAGAGGATCAAGTCCTCCGCAGCAGGAGCTCTTTATCGTAAAAAATAAGGGTCTTAATCTCAGCAAGTAAATTTTAACCGTGATCACAGTTTCTCTTTTTCCCATTCCAGAAATTCTAGACTGCACAGGACTGCAAAAAATAAATGAACGAATGAATGAATAAATAAATAAATAAAAATAAGTAAGAAAGAGCAAACGAACAACTTTGACCCAGAAAGTGCAGTGTTCATTCTTCAGAAATGACTAGCTAAACTACATAAAGCAAGGGGTTTATTTATTCTATTTATTTTTTATTACATACATAATTCGCACATGTTGCATAATGGAGAAAAGGCATGTACTGTGATGTCTCCCTCCCAATCCCTTCTCCACCCTTTTTCATACAAACTATATCTATTCACGCTGTTTATCACCTTGCCTGTAAAGTGAACAAGCAGTGTACTTGGAGATCATTCTTTATCAGTACATAAGGCACCTCTTCCTTCTTTTTGGTGGCTCCATAGTATTCCATTGTATGAATACATCGACTTGACTTCTCTGTCTCCTACTGGTGACCATTTAGTGTTCTCCAGTCTTTGTGATTTCTAAATGCTGCGGTGACTGGGAAGGCAAGGTGCTTCCTTAGCCTATTAATGTTCTGCAAGGACAGAGGCTTTTCTTGCTAGCCTCTGCCAGGCATGACCATTTAGCACGTCAGGAACGTCCTTATACGTTACAGAAGTCTCCACTGATGAAGTTCTCACAGTCTTCCCTCCACTGACATTTGTGTTTATGGCCCCCTTCTCTCTCCATGTCTCTCTAATGATCTCTGCATCTCTGCACCCCATTTGCAACTGGCCTCCCAGCTTCTTGGGGTGATTTCTCCATAGAGACCATCTCCAGAGACGGTCTCTGCTGCTGTGATTGGCGCCTCCCTATTTCCCTGTTACCTCTTTTGATTTGAACCTTCCACCTTCGTCGCTCCTGCAGCAGGCTCTTCACCACAGATAGGTTTGCAGTGGGCACAGCTTCTTTTTTATTAAAAAAAAAAAGTATTTAGTTTTTCTTAATGCAAAAAGGATAAAGAAGATAAACTTTACCTATAATCCCACCACCCAGAAATGTCTGGTGTGTATACTGTGGCACATGAAAGTCTCATCTTCATATCGAGTGAGTATAGTTACAGCTATGTATAGATGTGTGATCATTTATAGCTTCAGTATACATAAGACTGACCCTGCACACTGCATTTAACACTATAAATCTCATCGGCATTTTCTCTTGTCATTAACATTCCTCATAAACATAATGTTTAAATTTTAAGATGGAGCCTTGCTCTGTCACCCAGACCAGAGTGTGGTGGCATCATCTCGGCCTGTTGCAACATTTGGATCCTGGGTTCAAGCGATTCTCCTGCCTCGGCCTTCTGAGTAGCTAGGACTATAGGTGAGCACCACCATGCCTGGCTAATTTTTTGTATTTTTAGTAGAGATGGAGTTTTGCCATGTTGGCCAGGCTGATCTCAAACTCCTGGCCACAAGTTATCTGCCTGCCTTGGCCTCCCAAAGTGCTGGAATTACAGGCATGAGCCACCGTGCCTGGTTGTAAACATCATTTTTAATGGTTTACATATTTATTTGTATAAATGGTAATTTACTTAGCTTTCTTCCTTTGTTATATTTTTAAGATTGTTCCCTTCTCTTTTTAAAATTATAAATAAAGCTACTCTCAACATCATTGTGATTATACATTCTTGGCTAAGTCAGGATTCTGCCTATTAGGCATCCTGACTTACCATTATCTGCTGCCTTCTTTTTGGGGCCATTTCCCCCAGACCTCTATTTATCTCTATACCCTCCCCAATGGCTTTTTTTGTTTTTTGTTTTTGGGAGAGAGTCTAGCTCTGTCACCCAGGATGGAGTGCAGTGGTGCAATCTCGGCTCACTGCAACCTCTGCCTCTTGGGCTCAAGTGATTCTAATGCCTCAGACTCTTGAGTAGCTGAGACTACAGGTGCACACCACCACCCCTGGCTAATTTTTGTATTTTTGGGAGAGAGGGGTTTTGACCACATTGGCCAGGCTGGTCTTGAAATCCTTGTCTCAAATGATCTGCCCACCTTGGCCTCTCAAAGTGCTGGGATTATAGGCATGAGCCATCATGCATGGCCCCAAATCGCTTTCTTTCTTTCTTTTTTTTTGAGATGGAGTTTTGCTGTTGTTACCCAGACTGGAGTGCAATGGCACAATCTCGGCTGACCGCAACCTCCGCCTCCTGGGTTCAAGCAATTCTCCTGCCTCAGCCTCCCGAGTAGCTGGGACTACAGGTGCGCACCACCATGCCCAGCTAATTTCTGTATTTTTAGTAGAGATGGGGTTTCACCTTGTTGAACAGGACGGTCGCAATCTCTTGACCTCGTGATCCACCTGTCTCGGCCTCCCAAAGTGCTGGGACCAAATTGCTTTCTTTCACGAGCCGGGGAATGCTGCTCTCAAAGTAAACTAGTGTTTCGAGCGTTAAAACTGGATCAAGTCAAAGGATAGGGAGTAGAGTAGACTTCAGTGTGTCCTGAGAGCTTTAGATGTATTCTCTCACTTATTTCTTAAAATGACTTTGTGGGAGGCAGTTTCACCTTTTCACTTTATAGACAAGGACACTGAGGCTCAGAGAGGATGAGTAACTCGCTCAAGGTCACACAGCTAACAAATCACAGAGCTTGGATTTGAATTCATGTGTATCACTCTCTGAAGCTCGAATCTGCTAGAGGGTGTAGACACAGGATTTAGAATTTTTCAGTAATGAATTTAAATTCTGAAGTAGTTTGATAGAAGCCAAAGTAATAGTGTTGCTGGTGGGACAGGTCTCTAAAAAATGAAAAACCAAAAACTGATTTGTAGTGTTTCCAATTTCTGTGGTGTAAATACTCCCACCATAGTTAATTTCAAGCTGTCAATGGTTTAACAATCCACATACTCCTGAGTATATAACAATCCGTGCAAGCTGATACAGATGGTTCTTTCATCCTGCTGGCCAAACATTTAATTACTTACACAGTGCCATTAGTTTTTTTCACTCTGTGTTCTGGTTGGTTAAATAACTAAACATGGTGTACTCATTTCTAAGTGAGGCAGCTGTACACATCTACAAAGTCTAAAAATCAGATTTCCAAGGCATCTTTAAAGTTTATTCTAAAGTTCAGTGACTATTAGGCAACAAATCTTCCCACTATTGAAGCTGATTTTTTTTTTTTTTTTTCCGCATGTGAGTGGCTTTCAGTGTTTATGACTAACTCTGGGACTCTAGTCTTTCCCCAAGGATAAGAATTAAGATCAAGAGACGGGTTAGTGATAAATCGCTAGGATGTGGTCAGACAAAAAGCGAATTCACTATGGCTGTGTTCTGTAGATTAGACTATCGCCAGAGTATGTAATTAGAGCCTGCTGTAACATGGTTTTAATCAATGATGGAAATAGGGGTAGAAGAAATGTACAGAAATTACTCCTAGGACTTTCCAGCACTACTGGGTGGAAACCACTTAAGAAAATCCAAATGGTTTAATAGTAACAGAGGAAACTGTTGCCATTCCCAAACAATGGCTTCAGGAAACCAGCTGAAGCCATCATCTTTTTTCAGAGCCCATGGTCTGCCACACCTGAACCTTTCCCCCAAGGCTGCATGATGGATGCTTGAGTCACTGCTGAAGCTGTTTGCAGCCTGTTGAATACTGGTTTTATTCCTGCCACTTAGGGACACTAAATAATTGTCACAATATACTTATGATCAGGACAGAGGGTCTGGGTATGATCTGTACATTTGTGCAGTGACTTTTTGGTGGCTGAAAGAACAAGAGAGTCCAGCCCCATCTTTGATTACTTAGCCTTGGCTGGAGGACTTGTCAGGCACTGTCTCATAGCTGGAAGAATCTGCATCCTTGGACTAGGTGGGAGGTATTCCCACTTTGTTGGTAGTTGGCAAAGAATGGTGGCTCTCTCACTGTAGTCATTCTCATCCTGATCAGCCACCTTATTAAAAGAGGAGGGCAGGGAATTCTAGCTGGACTTTTATTTCAAGGGTGTCTTCCTTGCCTGTGCTGATAGATGTTCATGGGTTTGCTTGTGGTCTTCAGATGCAAACATGATCTTTTGTTTCCACTGGGGAGCAGCATGGGCGAAAGAATAGACTGAAGTGTGTGTCATCTTACCTTTTCTACCTTAATCTGAATCTGTGTTTGAAAAACAAAAACGAAACCCAAAGCACAACAGAAAAATGTGCTGGTACCACCTGGGCAGCTATATCCTCTCAAAAGCACTCTGTAATTTGCCTGGGTGTCCTCTGAGATGACCCAGGGTGACTGCAATCTGCTTTCCATCCTCTTAAAGGTGTGGATAATTAGTGCTTGTTCTCTGGAACCCTCTACTCTCCTGTTACACTCTCGATCCTGTTTTTGAAGAAAAAGAAGTCAGGAGAAGGTTGTAGGCATTGGCTCAAATACTCCCAGGACTTTATGGAATGCATTTCCCATTAACTATCCATTTCAGTGCTGAAACGATGCTGGAGGAAGCTGAGCTATAGCTTTACCTTGCTTAGTGAATAAATGGCTTCTTCTCTGTGTTAATGGTCTGCATGTCTTATAGATCATAGGAATGGGAAAGTACAGCTTTGTCATTGACTTGATTGTTTTTGTTCAGCCATGAGAAACACTCTCATCTCTGTCCCCAATCCCCTATTAGCGAAAAATCCCCAAATGCACTAATTCCTCCCTCTCTTCAAAAACATTACATTGTGATAGTAGAAAATGTGGAGGGTGGGTGTGGTGCTTTGACAAAAGGGAACCACTGAGGCCTGGTTTCTGCTTGCAAAATGCGTAGTCCAGTTGAAGGGACGTGAAGTCATTTGGGGAATCAAGGCTGCTCTAACTCTTGGCTCCCTGGACTGTGTCATCGTCTGGATGCCAGATAAAATACAGATGTTCAGCAAGAAACACAGCACCAGACCATTTTCCTCTTGGCTTGCACCGCCTCTAAAATGCCTGAATGCCAGACAAACTCATTTTCAGCATTTTGGTTCAGCTATAACTCACAGAAGATATCCCAATCTGCATTGAATAATCTCCAGCTATGTCTCTGAAATAGGGCCCGTTTTCTCCCTGGCCTTCGGCGGCTGGGGTTTCGATGGTCTCTGAGCTGCTCTTCCTTGAAGTCACACATGTAAAACTGCAGTGGTAGACAGCAGCCATGGGCACACCTCCTCTCGAGCCCGGCAAAAGCCACAGAACTGTCACTCCCCCAGGCCTTTAACATACTCCTCCTGTGCAGCCCTCTTTTCACTGCCATTGCCTCTGCACCGGTGACCCTTTTAACAAATTCCTGCCTCGAAATCAAATGAAGAGCAGCTCCTGTTTTTGTGAGTTGTCTCTGCATAGAACATGAGTCAGATTTTTCCAGCAGGGAGATTTTGTTTTGTGACCACCTCCAACATGGAGAGGTAGCTGAAAGTTTGTAATTACCTTGCAAGGAAGCCTACAACCGAGGCTCAAGTATGAGGAGGCGTGTTCTAAAGACTCAGGGAGGAATGAGCAGCTGCAGGGCTTTGCTGTCGGATCCCAAGCTCCCACACCTGTGCCCTCCACTCCCTCCTCGGAAGCTCCACACATTCCCTGTCTGCAACTGGGAAGAGCGACTTTCAAAGGCAAGCTTGAACGATGGTGAGCTCTAAGAACTCAGCCACAGAGACCATCTGTTTTTAGCATAAATTCTAACACATTCGAGCAGTTCTTCCTTGTCTAACTGGAAAAGCCTACCCTACAGGTAAAATTTCCTTTTACTGTATTAAGAAGATACATGCCTGTGATAGAAGTGAGTCTTTTCCTTCTGGGCCTACTTCATCCCGGTAGGAACTCAAGCAGGTAGAGCAATCATAAATTGCCCTTTGGGCTCTCTCTGCTGGCTGAATGCCAACCTCAGCTTCCTACCCACTCCTGCTACAAGCGTCAGAGAGACTCAGGAATGACCCCAACTTGCTTCTCTGCACAGCCTTTCTCTCCTGGATAACTAAAAAACCAGGGTTATAGAACAAGGAAGGCAGAGCAGGCAGCTAGACCCCTGCCCTAGGTCTTCTCAGGATAGGTTTGATAACAATGGTGAGCAAACCTAGAGGAAGAAGACATCGTTTCTTTCATGATGTATTCATCTTCACCACCCTAATTTAATCTCTTTACATATATCTATGCAGAGTTTTTTGTTGTGTTGTTTTGTCTTCTTGAGATGGAGTTTTGCTCTTCTTGCCCAGGCTGGAGTGCAGTGGTGTGATCTTGGCTCACTGCAACCTCTGCCTCCCAGGTGCAAGTGATTCTCCTGCCTCAGCCTCCCAAGTAGCTGGGATTATAGGTGCACACCACCATGCCTGATTAATGTTTGTATTTTTTTTCTAGAGAGGGAGTTTTGCTGTAAAATTCTTCCTTTGGCCAGAGATGCCCACATGCACAGACCCTGTGATCTCTGTTTGGAAGGCACATACCATTCCAGAATTTGCCCTCCGCCTGGGTCTGGGTGGCACGCACACACATCCCATGCAGTGGCTGCAGTCCTTCTGGGCAGCTGCTGCATTCGTCACGGCCGGGGCCTGTGCAGGTTTCACATGCTCGGTGGCAGGGCTCACATTCTCCCATTTCTTGGTCACCATAGAAGCCAGGGCCACATTGCCTCACACAGCTGCCACCTGTGTGAGAACACAGAGAGAAAGCATGAAGGCTTTGGTGCTTTATGCAAGGTCAAGTTCTAAAGAGGCTGGAGAAAATCTTAGGGACATTTGTCTTTGCATTTGTTTTTATTATTATTTTGAGATGGAGTCTCTCTCTTTGTTGCTGTGGCTAGAGAGCAGTGGCACGATCTTGGCTCACTGCAACCTCCACCTCCCAGGTTCAAGTGATTCTCCTGCCTCAGCCTCCTGAGTAGCTAGGACTACAGGTGTGTGTTACCAGGCACAGCTAATTACCTTTTCTATCTGAATCTGAATCTGTGCTTGAAAAACAAAACAAAACGAAACCCAAAGCACAACAGAAAAATGTGCTGGTACCACCTGGGCAGCTATATCCTCTCAAAAGCACTCTGTAATTTGCCTGGGTGTCCTCTGAGATGACCCAGGGTGACTGCAATCTGCTTTCCATCCTCTTAAAGGTGTGGATAATTAGTGCTTGTTCTCGGGAACCCTCTACTCTCCTGTTACACTCTCGATCCTGTTTTTGAAGAAAAAGAAGTCAGGAGAAGGTTGTAGGCATTGGCTCAAATACTCCCAGGACTTTATGGAATGCATTTCCCATTCATATATTTTTATATTTAATAAAATTTAAAATATATAAAATTTAATTTATATATTTTTAGTAGAGATGGGGTTTCACCATGTTGGCCAGGCCACTGTGCCCACCTTTTGCCTTTGTTTTTAAAAAAACCAAGATTGCTTTAGCTTATTTTAACCAAGAAATGTGTTTTAATAAATCTAGGCCCTGCACAGTGGCTCACGCCTATAATCCCAGCACTTTGGGAGGCCAAGATGGGTGGATCACCTGAGGTCACGTGTTCGAGAACAGCCTGGCCAACATGGCAAAACCCCGTCTCTGCTAAAAGTACAAAAAATAACCAGGTACTGTGAAGGGTGCCTGTAATCCCAGCTACTCAGGAGGCTGAGGCGGGAGAATCACTTGAACCCAGGAAGCAGAGGTTGCAGTGAGTGGAGATGGCGCCACTGCATTCCAGCCTGGTTGACAAGAGCAAGACTTCGTCTGAAAAAAAAAAAAACAACACTTTTTACCTAAGCCCTCTTTCAACTGAGAATTTACATTGGCCATTAAAGGGTTCAGAGCATCAAATACAGAATCCTTGAGGCCTTGAAAAACTACAAATAAAATAAGTCTCTATGTAGAGAACCACTGAAGATCTTTGTGGGCTGTCTTTCTCATTCTTTCTCCCCCAAACTCTCAAGTGCATTGGGTTAATATTTCCTCAGTTGGAAGATGCACACTATATTTCTTTCCTAACTATCCATTTCCATCAAAGACAGTGAGTTGACCGAAACCTAAGATCTTGTTAGATTCTTACAGTACAAGGATATATATGCTGGATTAAGTCTTAAGACAAGGGTCAGAGTTCCGAATATTTGAGGTGACTTCAATGCCAAAACATTTTTCTTCAGGTCCCCACTCCCTGTCTCCATCCAGTTCAGTCTTGTTTCCATCAGCTTGAAGATATTTGAGATTAATTAGTGGAACAGGAAATATGCTTCAGTAATAAAAGCAGAAGGAGATGGTCCTGGCTAATGTTTATTTCCAAACCAAATTAAAATTCCTCCTTGGGCCAGAGGTGCCCACACGCACAGACCCTGAAATCAATCACATGTGCATTCCTGTGGTCCAGACTGGGTGGAGCTCCAGTGCCTGGTTCTCACCTCAGACGGTGCCATTTTCTGACTTACCCAAGAGAAAGAAGCCCTCTTCACACCAGTAACACTCATTCTGGTCACAGCTGCCACAGTTACTATTGCATGCCTTGCATTCCAGTTCCTTACTGTAGGTCTTCTCAGGACAGATTTTATAACAATGGTGATCAAACCTAGAGGAAAAGGACATCGTTTCTTTCACGACGAATGTTGATGTATTTCTCTTCACCACCCTAATTTAATCTCCTTATATATCTATGTGGGGTTTTTTGTTGTTTTGTTTTGTTTGCTTGAGATGGAGTTTTGCTCTTGTCACCCAGGCTGGAGGGCAGTGGTGTGATCTCCGCTCAGTGCAACCTCTGCCTCTCAGGTTCAAGTGATTCTCCTGCCTCAGCTTCCCAAGTAGCTGGGATTACAGGTGTGTGCCACCATGCCTGGTTCATTTTTGTATTTTTTTTTTTTTTTAGAGAGGGGGTTTCACCATATTGGCCAGGCTAGTCTAGAACTCTTGACCTCAGGTGATCTGCCCACCTCTGCTCCACAAAATGTTGGGATTACAGGTGTGAGCCACTGCACCCAGCCTGTGCAGCATTTTCAACAGGAGTAGATAATTGAATTTCAGGCTTGGTCTGTTGGACCAACCCCCAACCCAAGTCATTAAACACCGCCTTTTGGACCTCCAAGGACTCTTTATCATAGCAGCTGGGAGAAGGAAGGGGTACTGATACTTATAGAGTACTGATTATGTGTCAAGTATTAGTTCATCGAAATCTGTATAAATCTCTTATGGTAGATATCGTGTATCTGTAATTTCTAGATAAGGGAACTGGAGCTCAAGTTTAAGTGCTCAAAATCACATAGCTAGTTAAAGGTGGGACTGGGATTTTAACCAAAGTCTGTGTGAAAAGGTCATTTGCATGATTTGTCACATAGCAACTGGCACTGAGGCCTTAAATAGCTTAGTGTTGAGTCCAAGCAGCTTACTAAAATGTCTGTGATCAGATTATTAACAATAGTAGCAAAATGCCTTAGCTTTTATTTATAAATATTTTTATGAATGTTAACTGTTATTCTCATTATACAGTAAAATGTTGTAATTCAGACTCCACTGAATTGCAGGCCTACGTGAAGGGGGAGTGAACTGAAGTTGACCCCCCGCTTGATGAATTTCAAAGCATCAGCATGCTATCAGGGGAAACCTTTGCATTTCTTCCTTAACAGCTTTTTTTTTTTTTTTTTTTTTGAGACAGAGTCTCCCTCTGTCACCCAGGCTAGAGAGCAATGGTGTGATCTTGGCTCACTGCAACCTCCGCCTCCTGGGTTCAAGTGATTCTCCTGCCTCAGCCTCCCTAGTAGCTGGGATCACAGGTGTGCCACCACACCCAGCTAATTTTGTATTTTTAGTAGAGATAAGGTTTCCCTATGTTGGCCAGGCTAGTTTCAAACTCTTGACTTCAGGTGATCCTCCCACCTTGGTCTCCCAAAGTGCTGGGATTACAGGTGTGAGCCATCATGCCTGGCAATAACTTCTACTGTTTAGCATTTCGCTCACTGTATTCAAAATTGCTAAATGTTTTCAAGTATTACATATGTTTGTTTCTTGAAACAAATCTCTCATGTTTTACCCTTAGTGACATTGGAGCATGTTGTTTCCGGGTATTTGTTTCTCAAAGGGTTTTATGAAACATGCACATTTACAAGTTGTGGTGAGCTGGAGAAGCAGACAGGTTTGGCTCCAAAGTTTAACAGAGGATGCTTAACAAAGTTTAACAGTGCCTGGCCAACATGGCGAAACCCTGTTTCTTCTACTAAAAATACAAAAACTAGCTGGGCATGGTGGCATGCGCCTGTAATCCTAGCTACTATGAAGGCTGAGGCATGAGAATCGGTTGAACTTGGCAGGTGGAGGTTGTGGTGAGCAGAGATCATGCCACTGCACTCCAGCCTGGGCCACAGAATGATACTCTGTCTAAAAACAAAAACAAACATACGTAAAAAAAACAAAGTGTGTCAGGAGTGCAGTGATGTGAGACATGATCAATGCAGAGAATGGCAGGCTATTCTGGAAAAGTTAGATTAAAACCATAAAGCTAAGAACTGATAAAGTTAACTGATCATTTTTAGTATGTTTCAGCTTATTGGACTTCCCTTTCTCTCCCACTGTATCCACTCCTTCTGTCTTCCCACCTATTACCACATTTCAAGTGTATTTGTTTTTGGACAGGTGGGTTCCATGGATGGAGGGAAAAGGCAATGTGGTGACAGAGGAGGTGACCTGCCAAAGCCCAAATGTCCCAAATCTAGACCTGTCACTAGTTGTGGTGCAACCTGAGTAAAATCTCACCCCTCTCTGAGCTTCAGTTTTCTTTTCAGGGGATTAACATCCTCCTTGTGTTTCTGACAATCTCAGTGGAATGATCAAGAGATGAAACAGTCGTGAGAGTTTGCATATCACAAAACTCCTGAGTTCTTAGGAGGACAGGGAGGGACTATGCAGCCCGTGCATTACACAGGGCTTTCCTTTCCTTTGCATCTCCTTTCTCTTTGGCTTTTCTTCTAGACAGTCAACAGGGTGTGCTGGAAGGTAGAATAGAAGAGGAGCTGATATTGAAACATGGCATTTTTGATTTTGTGGATTTTTATTAGAGTACATTGGGAGTGATGGTTAACTGTATTTCATTTAACCTAGTGCTCTGTGTCTCTAAGTTACCTAGGAGTTGATTAAGAGCTAGCATGGCACTTGGCTTCACCCTGGAGCCTTCACTCTCGTTAAGGACAAGGTCTCCATGCTGACATTTACAAACATGCTTAGGACCAGGTATGTTATTAAGGTCTGTCCATGAACAGCAAGATCTGAATCTTGGTAACCCGTGGCAGGATTCCTAGACCCCAGTGTCAGGCTGGATGACTTCCAGGATCAAGAAAGAGATGGCCTCCTTTCGAGGCAAGGAAACAGCTGGGCTCTTATTGCTAAATCCAAGAATTGCTCATTAATAGCCTGACAGGACAGAGTTGCTTCGGGCTACAGGGCCACTTTGCTTTAATCACAGGGTTGAGGATTAAGTCAGTAATGCTTAAACTGCAGAAAAGTCAGTGCCATACAAGGAAGCCAGACTTACATGTAATACCCCATAGCGCAAGATGTGCAGATTCCTGGATCATCTGGAAAAAAATGAAAATAATGAAAAATAATAATAATGAGGAATTTGTCATTTTGAAAAATAGACTCTGGAGAAGTTGTAGCTTGGGATAAACAATCCTGTGGGATACTTTCATGAAATGTACTTCCAGAAATAACACTTGAACAGATTGTACCATTTTTAATTAGTAACAAGATGTACACTAGGATTTATCTTTATCAAACGTAGTAAGAGTTCTCATAAACATTTGGCCCTTACTTTCAAGGAGGAATAGGCTCCAGCTACTGGGTCTTCAAATTAAAGATCAATGATCAGCCACATCAAGAACCCCCTGGCCTCTACTGAGGTAGAGGGATGAGCAAGTCCACACACAAATATTTGGAAGGGGCTACAAGCTTCTGAATAGAGGGTTTTCCATCAGTTACCCCAGAATCTTGCCAATGAAAATGAGCATCATTTGGGACACCCCTTTGAAATTAGCACAATTATTTTTCCCAAGTATCCACTTCAGGTTATGCCTGTCACAACTTTCTTAAAAAACAAAAAAAAAAAAAAAAAAAAACTGCCCTGTTCTTATTAAGAGTAATGATTCAGTGCATCCCTGTTGGCTCCGAGAAGGGTTCTTTCCTGCAGCTTTCAGGGGACTTCAAGAGAGAAAGAATTTTGAGAGTCATCATCATAGTCTATTTCTCTCTCTCCTAACACTTCCCAGAAGATGCAACTCTCAGATATGGCTATGAAGTGAATTCTATGACTTTCTCTGGCTTGCAGTTCTTGCACGTAACAGAGTTATCTCTGGCAGATTCTTTCTGTGATCTCACCTACCCTCCAGTCTTGCTCTTTTTATTTTAATAGGAGATGAAAGGCAACTGCTCCTCCTTAAAATGTTCCTCTTGGTATGTGACAATTTTATGTCACCTTTAATTAACAAAACTATTATCATTTGAGCTTTGTGCATAGCTTTCCTTTCTAATCTATTCTGGCCTGTTCTGATTTTCTCAGATTGCCTTTAGGAGGTAGAGACAGCCTCACCCAAATCTTAGTCACATATTCATCTCCGGTCCTAGGGAGGCTACCGAATGATATTACTGTGTACTACACATAATACAATGAATGCATTGCACCAAATGTTAAGTGGGAAAATTTCTAGCAAAGGCTCTGCCAATTAAAGCAGGGATCTGCAGAACTTTCTGGAAATAGCCTGATGATGGTGCAGTGGAAAGAGTGCTGACCTGGAAATAGAGCTACCTGTTGGAAATTTTAACTCAGGCTTAACTATCTTGTGAACTTGCACAAATGTCATTTTACTTTCTGGGTCCTGGTTTCTGCAGGTGTAAAATGAGCTGGTTGGACAAGATGGTTGTTAAGACTCCCAGAAAGTCACAGATTCTGAAGTTGAACCTAGCAAGAGTTGGCAACTATGGCCCACCCCAGGACCTTGACTTTGCCATCTATTTATATGTATTGTGCAAGAATGCTTTTATGCTATATAATCAGAGTTGAGTAATTGCAAGAGACCAAAGATGTCTATTCCCTGCTACTTCACAGAATTTGACATCTCCTGACTATAAGCACTATCGGCTCGTGACTTTGTCATACTCATCTTTGCTAGGGGACACAGGTGCCTGTAATTGTCGTAACAGCTGGTTTCAGAGTTCCTCTTAGGAAAAGAACTGTCTATATTTAGGAAACTACTTTGTTAAGCTCCTTGGGGTAGAAGTGTAATTGGAAGAGTTGAACAAGAGCCAAGACAGTCAAAGAGATAGAAGGGCCCTTCTGCAGGAAGCTGTTATCTGCTCATGGGAGAGAAATGGTTTTTAATGTCTGGGTCAACATGGTTTGTAATACGGTGACTAAGACAGGACAGTGAAATGAGCCAGAAACCAAGCTAATTAGGTGGAACCAGGAACTGAAGCTAGAGATGCCCATGAGAAAAGCTTCCTGGAATTCTTAGAAATCTTGGGGAAGGCCAATTCACAAACTGGGGATCTGAGACCATTGCAAAGGTGTGCAGAGGCCCCAATGAATACCACTGGTTCCACTGGGCTAGTTCATTTTCCCTTATGAGTCTATGCATCTGTATTCTTTTCAGTTTCTAAATAACTACCTACCCCTCAGCTTGCATTTGGTCAGCTTACTTTACTCTGCCTCCCTGATGAATGTATTTGACTCTAACAGTTTTGCTAATTCGGCAAGGGCTGGGGAAATTCTAATCCTGTTCTTTAATGTTCTGGTCATCCCTCCCATCTAGGAACTTAATGAGCTTGCTCTCTGCTCCTTTAAGCGGGTCACTGATGAGAATGTTAAACAGAACCAAGCCTCAGAAATGTGCATACCAATGCAATCTTGAGTTCAGGAACTTTTCCAGCCCAGTTGCACAGTGAATTTGGTACCTTTACAACAGTTTGCATAAATGAATAATGCATAGAACAGGAACTGTGTCTTATAACAGCTGATGAATGCCCATTCGTTTTTCTCATTATTACCAGTTGTTCTAAAAAATGAGAATTATTTAAAAAAAAATTTTCCACCTCAGAAGATCCACAAGTCAGACCTAAGCTAAGTGAATTTAGCTTGACCACTGAGAGGCTGCTGTTATGAGATTAGGGAAGAAGGTAACAATCCCAAATCTAGAAGTTGACTCTAAGTCAGCTTGACATTTAGATGGTAAGGAGGGGTGGCTTAAGGAGAAAGATGAATTTTCTTGGCTTCTAGTCTGTGTGTGACAAGGGGAATGGGAAGGGAGTCTAAACAAGCTACAGTTGTTAGCTATCTTGGAAGGTGTTATCCAAAGTAGGATGTTTAAATAGCTCTGGTGATTTGATCTTGTCAAACTTTTGAGCTGAGAGAGCATATTTGAGGGGGAGAAGGGGAAAACTCAGTCAGAATTCAGAGAGCCTCACATGTTTGGAAAAAAGCCTTCTGAAACAGTGGCTGGTTTCCAGCTGCTCATATCCCTGCTAAGGAGAACGTGTGAGCAGATGCCTCGTCAGGACAGGGATGCCGTCTTTCTGTCTTGAGAAACTCATTTTTACTGTCTCACTTATATGGGCTTGGGTGGGCAGGACTACAATGTCCACTCTATCTTGAGAGCTCTTCATGATCCCCAGAGTCCCCTTCCCATTGTGTCTTTGGGGATCATCCATACTGTCACTCATCATGAACTCACTGTCCTATGGAGACATTGCCTCCTGCTTCAATGTCACCTTCAGCAGTCAGTTTACATTCTGTGCCATTTTATTTTGTTCTCAATAATACCGATCACCTTCACCATTGAATTTGGATGGATGAGGGCCACAGTGGGAGCTGTGCATATCTTACCTATAAGATGTATTGGAAAGGAGATATTTTAAACTTGAACGTCTAGAGGAGAATTTGTTTTTATGGTTTATATAAACCTGGTGTCCCATAATTCAGGATACACACAAGTGGAGGGTAAACATAACCATGGCAACCTGATGCAGACCATGAGAGCGTCCTGGCCTCTTGCTGCTCCGTGAGAAATAAAATGTCAGCTCAAGTCAGGAAGCTGGCATTTTATGAAGATTCAATGTCACAATTACAGGGTGAGCCTGGCCACCATGGCCATGCTGGCTGGCCGAAAAGACCAGGTCTCCCTATGGCATCCAGGCTGATATCAAACTCCTGATCCCAAGTGATCCTTCTGCCTTGGCTGCCCAAAGTGCTGCAATTACGTGGAAGTTATTTTGTCACTGGATAAAGACATTTGTGAAAAAAACTGGACTTCCAGGTTATTTATCTGTTTTCTAGCAGAAAAGCATGCAGTTTAAGATGGGGTCTGACTGTGTTGCCCAGGTGGTTTTGAACTCTTGACCTCAAGCAATCTTCCTGCCTCAGGCTACCAAAGCCCTGGGATTACAGGCCAGTCCTTGGAGAGACCAGGAAATCCAGAGTTTTCTCCGAGAATGGGGATTCCTGAGAAGTGAGTTTCACCTTGAATCAAGAAATGAGAATCATATGATGTCAAAGGCAATCACCCAGGGCCTCAGGAACAGGGGAATGAAGAAGGGCTAGGCTTGGCAGGATGATGGTGGTTGTCTCTCCCACCTAAAAGCTACCACTACCTCAAGACCCCCTCAAGATGGTGCCTGTCTTGGTTTCAACACCTTAAACAGGAAACATCGGGAAGATGCATACTTCTCCATTCCATATCAGACATGTCTTAGAGGAAACTCTTATATCTGAATGACCAAAGCAAAGTATGAGGAACAATGCAAAATCTATGCCAGGCCATTCACAATTTTGCTGGTGCCCTGGAGTCCACATGCATTTCAAGAAGAATAAAGTGTGTCAAACCTGCAGAAGACTGAACCATGTCTGTCAGACCTGCCTCTTTTTTTTTTTTTTTTTTTTTTTGAGATGGAGTTTCGCTTTTGTTACCCAGGCTGGAGTGCAATGACGCAATCTCGGCTCACTGCAAGCTCCGCCTCCTGGGTTCAGTCAATTCTCCTGCCTCAGCCTCCTGAGCATCTGGGATTACAGGCACGTGCCACCATGCCCAGCTAATTTTTTGTATTTTTAGTAGAGACGGGGTTTCACCATGTTGACCAGGATGGTCTCGATCTCTTGACCTTGTGATCCACCCGCCTCAGCCTCCCAAAGTGCTGGCATTACAGGCATGAGCCACTGCACCCGGCCCCAGACCTGCCTCTTAGACCTGGAGCATGGCCTGCCCATCCAGGTTTGTGATACAGAATTGTCTTTATAAGATGACATGCCAAAGTCAGATGTCAGAGAAGAGTACTACATGCAGAATGTGGAGAGAGGGGTTTCTAACTCAGATTGAAGATGGCCAGTTGGCCTGCTGAGGAAAGCCACATCCACCAGTGACATGCTGGACAAACTGGCCAGACCATACCCTATTACCTAAGGAATAAGCCCCACATTTTCTCCTTTTGGGGGAAGGGAGAGGGTAAGAGAGGAGAGGAGTTTCCATACAGACATGAGAAGCCTACAGGTCCACATGATTCCCTTGCTGATCAGATATTAAAGATCGATATT